ACCAGAATTCCTTAGTTTTAAAAAAAATGATAGCCATCACCTTTCCATGCAAAGTCTACTCCACTGACTGCAATGTTGGAGGGAATCCAATGCCATTGTTCTCTCTGCCCAAATGAATCTGGTGTGGACACCCATAATGAAACACAGTTGCTGCTTCTGTTCCTCTTGAACACAGGGTGACATTTTACTTGCAGCCAATGTTCACAATATAGGAAACTGAACCACTGCCCCATATTCACACAAAGTATCGAGGAGTAGGGTGCTCTGTTGGTGTAGCAGTAAGACTAAGTGTGGACCTCCTGATTCCTAGCAGCCATCACCAAAGTCTGTGCTGGCTAGGACTAATATCACAAAGGCTGCCCTTTGCTCACCCCTGTGCTAATGAAATGGGGCTTTTCCTCATCTTCCTCCCACAGTGCTCCCCCCTCACCTGAATATCTGCTCACAGTATGGGCTTCCTAATGAATGATGGGGGGTAATCAATATCCCTTCTGTTTCCATTTATAGAATTGCAAGACAATACAGTGGGATCCTGGCTAGTGCTTTTAATTTTTTTTTCTCCCTGAATGGCAAGCCGTTATTGAGAGAGTTTTGAATGGAGGGAACCATGGGTGGCTGCTCTTGAAAGGTAGTGCAGGGGAGAGAGATACTACAAACACTATTGTGTATGTGCGAACAATCCTATGAACGCATAGAAACAGGCTCTTTGAAATATTTATTACCTATGGAATAGGTACTAAAATAACTACCCTATAAGGTGGCAACAGGGTCCAAAGGCAAATTTTTACAGGTCAATAGGTGAAAGCCTTCATTGAAAAATGTAGTGTGTTTTAGATGAAGTGGAAAAATGTGTCTTATTACTTCCCTGGAAATGTAGAGTAAAGCAGGTTTATAATGCTGTTGTCTTCCACATGCTCTTTAATCTCTCTAGATTGAGAGTGAAGACCAAAGTCCAGCTGAAATGCATGTGGGACTTCCTCTTCGCCAATGCTGCAGCTGTTGTTGCCCATTCTGCTGAAGACCTCCAACAGCTCATGGATTGTTTTAGCAAGACCTGCCAAGACTTTGGACTAACAATCAGCCTGAAGAAAACACAAGTCATGGGCTAGGGCGTGGATTTACCTCCTTCTATTACCATCTCCACACAAGAATTGGAGGCTGTTCATGACTTTGTGTACCTTAGCTCAACGATATCCGACACTCTCTCTCTAGATGTCGAGCTGGATAAACACATTGGCAAAGCAGCTACCATGTTCTCTAGACTCACAAAGAGATTATGGCTTCATAAGAAGCTGATGGCGTATATAAAGATCCAGGTCTATAGATCCTGTGTCCCGAGTACACTCCTGTACTGCAGTGAGTCCTGGCCCTTTGTGCAAGGCAGGAGAGGAAGCTGAACACATTCCATATGCGTTGTCTCTGACACATTTTCGGTATCACCTGGCAGGACAAAGTTCCAAATAGAGTAGTCCTAGAACGAGCTGGAATTGCCTCAGAGAGAGACCACAGCTGCGATACAAGGCTATCTGCAAGGAGGATCTGAAGGCCTTGGGAACAGACCTCAACAGATGGGAAACGTTGACATCTGAGCATTCAGCCTGGAGGCAGGCGGCGCATCATGGCCACTTCCAATTTGAAGAGACCCTTGTCCAGCAGGCCGAGGCAAAGAGGCAGTCCCAAAACCAGCAAAATCAGGGAGCTGGACAGGGGACAGACTGTATTTGTCTTCAGTGTGGAAGGGATTGCTACTCTTGAATTGGCCTCCTCAGCCACACTAGACGCTGCTCCAAATCCTCTATTCAGAGTGCCTTTACCATAGTCTCTCGAGACTGAAGGTTGCCTAATCTAATCTTCCACATGCAAAAATAACATGCAAAACAGCTCCTGCATGATCCTGCTTGCCCAGCTCTTGACACACAGACAAAATAAACTCTACCATAAGCACACTCTGTGCTTGCAGCTAACACCCTTCATTAAGGGGTTTGCCCTGAATATTGATAATCATCATCTTTTATCTCTGGGGCATGCATGATAACAAGTTTATATAAAGCAAGAGTTGTTTGCTCCTTGATAGTGACCTCTAGCTTGAGTTTTGCCTCTTAAAACAGAAGAAAATTTATCAGGTGCCAAATTAGTGTGCCATATTTTTGATTTAAAAAAAGAGAGGTTTGTGACAGCTGAGGTCAGCTGATGCCTTAGGCAGAGGCAAGGCCAAATAAGGCCATCCATTGGGAACCTTTTGTAATCTTAGGGTGCAGTTACACTATTGAAATAATTTGGGAGCTGGATGGGGATCCTATAAATTGAGTTAATGTCATGTGATTGTTCCAGTGTGTGTGTCTTTATGGTCACCCACAAAGGTGGCAGCTGTATTTGGCCTATGAGCTCAAGCTGCAGGGAGGGCTGGGTGACTGGGAAGGAGCAAAGCTCCTCCCTTGCCTAGGAAGTCCACCCAGGAGCTTCTGGTTGTTGTTAGAAATGAGCACGCCACTGGCCTCACCAGCTATAGCGGTGTTGCCATCACCATCTCATTGGCTCCTGCTATCTGGCTTGGTCCCAGTCCCCGGTGCTCTCACTCAACCTCCACTCCCTATTAGTATGATGTACAGTTTCTTTGGATTTTTCCTGCTGGGATGTGTGTATGACAGTGTCCCCAGTCTCCAGGCATTTTATATAATTTTGAACTGGGAATTAACATAGTGCTAGATTGAAAACAAAAATGAACTGAATAAAAAGGGAAGATTTCAGACTGCAGCTTATCCTGCAGTCCAACATTTCAGCAAACCCTGCAGACCTCCACAGAAACTATTTACTCTGACATGGGCATTCCACACATGCCAAAATGATTCAAAATAATACAATACATTGTGTTCACTACTGAGCTAAAATAAACAAGTCCCTCGCAGCTTTTTAAAATAAATTGGTTTTTTGCCAAAAAAAAGAGTGCGCTTAGCTGCGCATTGTGTAGTCAGAAAATTTTAAACTGATTTCCAGTTTAAAATTGCTAAACCCAACACAAAAACAGGAATATGAGGACATGTAACTGCATCCCTAGATAGGAAGAAAGGTGATAAGTCCATGAAGCAACCAACAAGTAGCAACAGACTTGCACAATTCATATCTTTGCAAACAGCTATTTGACACGACAATGTTTACACCTTCACTTCACGATATTCAAACAATTTCTACCATACCAGAATCTGGAACAGCTGCAACCAGGTTTTAGATAGACCTTGGGACTGCTAACTTTGTGGACTGTAGCTCCCAGAGACCCCAGCCAACATGGTCACATTTCCAAGATCAGGTTATATATGATAAGTCTAGAGCTTACTCTCTCACTTGCTGCATCTCACTCCTTGGCCTGTACCCTCAAACCCTATGTAATCAATTATCCATTTTAAAAAATTCAATTAAATATTTATTAATACAAATCAAACCATTCTCTGCCTTTGTCTGGATCTCTCAGGAATGTTATGGCAGCAGCCACACTTAACCATTTTTAACAGTGTACTTTTCAAATAATTTAGGAAGGTTACCAAAAACGTATAAACTACTAAACAGCTCTGAATGCAAATTGCAGCCATTTCCCACTGTATTCTAGAAGTATTCTAATTGCTGAGTGTGCTCCTCAGCAGGCCCAGTAGAATAAGCACCTCTGTGTTGTTAGGTAAAGTTCACGTTACATAAAACAAACCCTTTCTTTCTTTTTCATCTTCTAGACGCTAGAGAGTAAGTGTAACACTATCTATGTGATTGGAGACAGAGGCACTCCTATTTAAGTCACTTTGTCTCATACTTGGTGTTGCAGGATGGAGCTGTCACCTGTTGACTTACATCTCCTCCATTGAATTGCCAGCTGCCCTGGATCCCATCCTCTCTCAACCAAAGAAAAACTTCTAAATAGACAGAGTCATGTTCAATAAGACAGAGTTTCTATCCCCTATTCATCCCAAAGTTTCTGTCTGTTACTAGGAATACAGGTCACCTGTGCCTCTCAATCTAATTCCAACTCAAATTAGCATGAGGGCTAGCCCCAATCGTTTGAATGGATTGGGAAAGGGGAGACAACTTAATCCAGATTTCAGATGCTGTCAATGTTTCCCTAAGGCAATTCTTATTATGGAGAGAACTTATTATAGATGCAAAATATTGCATAGGAGTGCATCCAAAATTAACCATCCTAAGAATATCACATAAGATTGCAACAAAGGTTACTGTAACATATCTGTGTTTTTTTTTAAACTAGAGCTATGCTTAGATGTTAAGAGATGGTGCAAGAAGTGGGGTTGTCAGAGCAAATGTTATAAATAAATGCACCCTTCCCAGAAAAAGACAATTTAAGCTCCTAATCTAAAAACAAGAATGGGGGGGGGGGTTGTCAGACCACTAACGTCTCACAAATAGAAGTTAGCTTTCACCCCTATTACAGAGTTGGGGGCAATTCTCAGCCTGATGAAGAGGCTGAGAGAAATTCAAGCTAAATTTTGTTTGTGAGATTCTGTTGATGGTCTCATAAAGGCATTACCCATCCTTTTCATTGGATTGTGTACAGCCCTTTCCCTTCTTTGTTTTTACAGTTCATGTTTCATTTTAACTTCAGTAAATCCCATTGATTTCAAGGGGCTCCCTCCCAGAGGAAGTGGGTGTAGGACTGCAGCCTTAATTCCTCAGTCCAGCAGGTGTTTTCTATGCCTTCGTGTACAGGCGTGCTGTAGTTTTTCATTTTGTTTTTTTTTCCTCCCCCTTTCCCACTCCTCCCCTTGCTCTGTTCCTAAAACAGGATCAGCTCCATCAAAAATCATTGCTGTGCCAAAGTATTGATTTGAGTCGCACTGGCATGATGCCAGAATAGCTCAAGATTTTAAAACACCCACCCACCCACCAAACATCCTCCTCCTGGTTCATAGTCACACTTCGATCCTTCTCCCTTGCCTGAAATATGTGTAGGAGTCACCGCTTGGCAGCCTATGAGTTAACAAGGCAGTGTGTGTTAAGTTGAGCTAAGTGAGTAATGCAGCCAGTTAAAGTTTTCAATGCAGCTTCAATTTGGAGAGTGCAGAAAATGGGGAAAGCAAAGATCAGGAGCTGTTACTTCACCAAGTGAACTACTTCTGAAGGGGTCACCAATGCAAGGTCAGTAGTATTCTGCAAAAATTAGTAGCCTGCTTGTGTTTCTTTTCTTCACAGCTTGCTCTTTCAGACAGAAGAAGCTCTCAGCAAGAAGCTTTCACTCCCAAAGCTTATGACCTTTCCTCAATGGTGTGAACCATGTTCAGTAGATAATGATTTGCAGTGTACATCAAGCTAGATTTTCCACAGTTCTGTGTGGGGAGGGGTGTATCTCAGCATTGACACTCAGGAATACTGTATTGATCTAGGCAGATTTTATTTGGTCATAGTCCACACGCAGCCTGATATGGGACGCTTTCATTTTTGCAGGCCATGACATGAATTCGGGATTAAGTATCTGTTTCAGTTCAGCTTGGTGTACAATTGTGAAAGGTGCTAAACAGGTTAAGTTACTTTCCTTCTGAGGGAGGAATAATGATTCCACCACCCCGCCCCCGGCTGTTTTTGGGTTATCAAGTCAGCTTAGGCGAATGAGAAGCTGAGACACTGTCAATCTTGTGAAATCAAGCAAGGCTGTTTTAACTGCCAGATTTGCTGAAGTAAGGTTTGCCATCAGAGTGTCTTCCATGCAAGAAAATACAGTATAAGAAAACTAAGAAATGCTGTTTAAAATCAGCACGGGTGGTTCCCAGAGCGTGTGTGTGTAAGTACCAGTTTGATTAGAAAAGGGGAGAGGAGAGGTAAAATGTGCTCAGCGCTGTGTTTTAGTAGAGCACTTGCTGTCTTTATTATGTGTGATTATTTTGCTGTTTTCACAAGGCAACAAGATTTTGAGGGGCTAACAAGATTTTAAGAGGGGCTAATTGCTCTACTATGCATTCAGAAAGAAATGCATTGTATTTGGATAATCACTTTGCTTTGAATCAGTGCTTCTGATTTCTCCGGACCCAACTCGGCGATCTGATAAAAAGTCTGCTCACCAGCACTTATTCACCAGTGACTCATGCCAAATTTGGGCTTTTGTTGATGCTTGGGGTAGGTGGGAAACACACCACACAAACTGGCTCATGAAACGTAGCTTGGAAATGTAAGTGGCATACATCTCGTAATAACTGAACTAGTCAGGCTCTGCAAATTCCCCCTTCTGTTTTTTTTTTCTTCCCCCAGGATTCTGGTTTGCAAATTCCTTTTTGCGGAACCTTCCTGAATCACCCTTTTGTTCCTGTAAACGTCATGTGGACTTTTCCGGCTCTCCCCGAGACAGGAGTTCTGCAATAGAGCAAGAATAACAACCTTTGCAAGCATGGGTGATTTAGCTTTATTTGACATGCTAGAGTGTCCGCTGTGCCTAGAGAAGCTGGATGTCTCTGCCAAGGTGCTCCCTTGCCAGCACACCTTCTGCAAGCCCTGCCTCCAGAGAATCTTGAAGTCACACAAGGAGTTGAGGTGCCCTGAATGTCGAACCCTGGTTCTATGCAGCATTGAGGAGCTTCCTGCCAACTTGGTTTTGATCCGCCTATTGGATGGGATCAGATTTGGACCCGATCTGATGAAGTTTGGCTCACTCCAAAGATCTGGGGTCCTCTCCTCTCCTGCCTCCACCAGGAGGGTCCGGGGAGAGCCAAGAGCTCTACAACTCCATCATTATGGGCTGACATTCAATCCCAGGATCCCTATGGAAGGGGTAAGGAGGGTCCATTTCTTTCTTTTCCTCCCTTGATTAGCAGGACCCATTGAGACCACCTTCCATTTGAAGGTTGGAGGGGTTCAGTTCATTAGATTGTTGGCTGGTTTGTCTCTGTGCTGTCTCGCTCTCTTACCTGGTTTTGTTCAGCAACTTTCTCTTTTGCAGTACTTCAAATTTACACTAGCTGAAACTATTTCAAGCTAAGAATTTGGCTTCTGACTTTTCAAGGGATTGCCATCTCCAGCTGAGCCCCAAATTGTGCAAAGACATTTCAAGTGGCATTACAGTTAGTTCTATTTCCAGTCTTAGATTAAATCAGAGAATGGAGAATTCATACCTGTGGCAGAGAAGAAATGACTTTCACACCTATCAAGAACTGAGGAATGTTTGATTTTCACAGAACTTGGGGGCGGGGAGGGAGGGATGGAATAAAGAGTTGTTGAGCGCTATTACAACCAGAGCAAGTGAAATAAGCTATTTGATCCTTTCAAAATATGCAGCTGGATCTGAATATGGATAAAAAGTAGGTCACTTCTGCCCTAGATTCTCTGGTTCTTGTCATTTCAATCATTCTGTTCTCAAGGGTCTGAGAAAAGAAAAAAAATCTACTCATTGTAAGCTCCTTCTTTTCCTATGTTTGACTTCATCCATGTGTAAAGGTGCTGAGTGCAGAGAGTCAGGCTCTTGGTGAAGGGAGAGGCTTCAGTGTGAGAAGAGCTTTCATATCTCCAAGTGTGTTAGCTTCTTATTTTGGCAATAATATGGTTTTGCAGGGAGATCTCCATAGCACTCTCACCCTATATAGGTATCTTCTTAACAAAAGAGTATATACAACTCATGAAGTCCTACTGCATCCTGCCTTCCTCAGTGTTCATTTAGGGTAACAGAAAGGTCTACGTAGGAGACGTTTACACAGTAACTTCAATCATTGTTAAGTTAGTTTGGCTTATTCTCTCTTCTGTGTGAGATCATCTTCAATTTCATTAGAACCGGAGAAGCAACAACAGTAAGTCACAGTGGGTGAAAACAACCCAGTGTCTTCTTCCTGTACCTGACAAACTTGAAATTATCTGTAACCTAGATCAATCATATACTGTGCACCTCTCAATCTAGTTTCATAAACCTTATCATAGGCACATAGCAAATGCACCTGTGATATTCATTGTGCAATTCTATTTCTTCATGAAGGCTAGCTATTAGTAGTTCTGCAGAAGTCCCACTAAAATGAACACAAGAGAGAGAAATATAGCTGAAAGAGAGCAACCTCCTACATTATGGCTTTGTTTTCACCCACAAATATTTAGAACAGCTAAAGAATACCAGTGCTTTATGTCTAGAAAATAAAATCCTTCATTTCAAGTCAGTTTTTGGGCAGTCACAACAGGTTAGAGAGCAGTGGTGCACGGCACCCACCAACAATGTGTGACATGAGCAGATTTATTGGAAGTTGGGCCTTTTGAGATTTTATTGCCATGTAAAATGTGGTCAACAAGAGATGAGAGTTAGAAATGAACCAACATTTGACTAACAATGGATAACCCTGGCAAATGAGCCAAGATTAAGCAGAAGGGACAGGGATATAAGATACTCACTGTGGCGCAGTGCAGTGGTTCCTAACCTTAGGTTCCCAGCAACATTTCCTCTAATTTTCAGCCTCCACTGCGTGGGGCTCTGCCCCTCACGTGTGCAACGTCACAGAGTTCCTTTGCAACCAGAACCAAAGGGGCTGAAAATGATTGTTGTGGGGGTGTGGAGAAGGAGGAGCCCTGCTCAGAAAGGGGCAGAGTTGCATGTACACTCTCAGGCACACACCTTAGAGGAAACCTTGGTTCCCAGATGTTCTTGGATTACAGCTCCCAGAAATCCTGGCCAGTACAGTGAGTGGTGAATGCTTCTGGGAGTTGTAGTCCAAGAACATCTGGGGACCCAAGGTTGGGAACCACTGTTGCAGTGGATAGAGTGATGTACCAAAACTCAGGAGGCCTGGGTTCATTTCCCTGATCAGCCATGGAAACTGACTGGGTGTGTGTGGAACCGGTAAAACCACTCCTTTACCTTAAATGCCCTCTTAGGGTGACTATACATTGGTTCTGACTTGATGGCATATAACAACAGGCATATAGAAAAATAGCATAAACCCATAGTGAAAATGGACTGGCTTTCAATCCTAGCCCCAAGGGCCTGAAGATCTAAACAAACAAACAAACAAAAAGAAGGGGGGCATCAGGACTTCCATTTGAAATCCTAGCTTCTCACACCTATGCACGATGATTCAAGAATACGTCTTAGAGTTATGCTTACTGCCAAGTAAGGATCTAGGAAGCTGTGCCTATAAATAATACTAAGAGGAACCTGGGATAAGTATAGACCTCCTGTTATTAATTAGCAAAGGCATCACGAAATGATATATTGTTCAACTCCCAAAAGTAAGGATTTTTATAATAAACCGACACAAGTATAATCGTTAACTGACTGAGGGGTCTGGGAGTGGTAGAAATGTCAAGAAAGAGGGTAAGAGTGTCCTCCTCTTGTGACCCATTTCATTCATCCATGAATACACCATATCTTATGGAGGAGCATGGAGAAAAGATTTTTAACAGTGTGGCAAAGAGTCCATGGAAGTGGAATACAAAGGTATTCATGAGGATTTTAAAAAAAGACTACAAGGTCAGTATAATAAGTAAATCTAAGTGCAGTCCATAAAGCTTGGTGAATGGGATCTGAGGTTATGTAAAAGAGTAGTAAGGGTTACCAATACTTTTGATAAAAATAGATCAGCTTCTGCTACAAACGGCTAGAAAGTACAATGCATTATTGATTTGTTGCTATTTATATATGTATCCATAGCCTACATTTCCAGAGCTGTCATGCCAAACTGGTGCGCAAAACACTCATCATCATGCTAGATCACTCTAATGTGACTGCTTGAGCCCCTAGCAGAAGAATCCTGTACTCAGGATTGGAGAACACACTCCAAGAATGGAGACATGTTGCTGCCCACCCAGCAGAACAGCCACTGCATTGGACGCATGCTGTGCAGACTGGAAGGGTGGAGGAGAGACACACAAGTAGTACATATGTCAATGGTGGGAGAAGTACTGAAGTATATCTATCATTTTGCCACTCTCTTTCTTGCAATAAACACAGAGAACTGGGCAACAATTAAGGGCACAAACAGGCAGGTTCAGAAAGTGGACAATTGGAACCTCCTGAAAGCCAAACCATTCGATGTCCCTGCATCCCCCATTGGAAGAAAGATGTACAATCAGTGAGCTTTAGCAAGTAAGGGAACTGTGCAGTGGAGTCTGGGTTATGGACCGCTATAGAGTGTACCATGAAGATTTTTGCCTCCTTTATATAATCACGTCCTCCTTGCTTCTCTGCTCCATCCATCCATCCATCCATCCATCCATCCATCCATCCATCCATCCATCCATCCATCCATCCATCCATCCATCCATCCATCCATCCATCCATCCATCCAGCTGTTGCACCTGAGATGTTCTCCCAATGTTCTGTTTTTGTGGCCTATGCGGCACTCCATCTCTACAGTGGGATTTCTGCTGATTCCTCTGTTTCTTAAGCAAGTGTACCTTGAGAACAGAACTGCATTTTATAGGAACAAAATCATGAGCTCGAGGTATATAATGGAAGAATGCAAGAAAAAGAAACATGTGTTTCCAGTATGTTGATAACTGAGTGCTTTCTATTCTGCTGTTACCCATTAGTCTATATTTATAATGCATTGTGTTAGATTGTTGAAATGTCTGTGCAGGAATTGAGGCTTTAAAAGAATACACAGTCTGTTGGTGAGATCTAGACGTGCAAATAAGGAGGAAGGCCAAATCTTTAGGCCATTTAATATATACATGTTGTTGGGTTGTAACTCTCATCATATCCAGCTAATATAACCAATGGCAGTGGATGATGAAAAGGCCACCTATCTGTGACTTCTGCTGTAAGCCGTCACCCAAATGCTAAGAGTGAAGCACAGGAAGCCAATACTGTGGCTCAGATACTGGGCCACCAAGAAGAGGAACTAAACTGCCCATGGGACTGCATTAGGTGGATGGAGGACCACACCACAATACGAATGGATGCTCTGAGCATGAGGTTTTCCTGGACCTCCTGGACTAGAGGACATGCTGCTGAGGAACTGATAGCAAAAGGGAGTCCAGCATTGCATATGTTAAGAAAGGGGCTACAGAGATAATCATAAGTCTTTTGACCATCATATGGCATGTGGGAATGGAACTGGCCTGTCGTGTCATTAGGCAGAATGAAGTAATCTCTTAAGGTGATCAGTGCTGTGGGGCAGTGGTGGCAACCTCTTGGCTGCCTCTTCTGGAATCCCCAACTGTTCCTCTTTGCTGCCATGGAATTGCTGCCCATGCCCCCACAAAAGTAGCCTTAGGTGTTAAGTGGCAGACACTATCCCATTGCCAGGGCTGAAATAAGTCTACTGCCAGTCCAACTTGGTTTTGTACATGGAAAGGGAAAGGGGCACCATCTTCTTCACCTGGCTATCTGCAGATCCAAGATTTGGAAAGGGAATGCACCTCGCTCTCTGATGTTCATTCAGCATCAAGGCAGGCAAGTCACAAAACTCTAGGGCTCCCACTAATCCACAAATTCTAGTTATCTAACACACAGCATGTTCTCTCCCATAATAATTCTTTCAAATGCATCAAAGATCCTTAACTGCCATCATTATCGCTATTTATCCTATAGAAAGGAATCTTGTGAGGTAACAGCTGTGGCTGCCTGGAGTGATGTTAAGCTTTTCCTTCAGACTTTTCAGAACCTCTGCAGTCATTTCCCTCCATCCTCGCAAGGTTCTGGAGACTTTTTAAAAAAATAAATAGACTATAAACTTCACAATCCCTTATGAGAAGAAAGGCAGTAATTTAGATGCTGCTGCTTGTTTGTTGCATAGAGTGTTCCCAATAATCTGCTGCAGTGACACATTGTTAACATTTGTCAGAAATAACACATAA